TATCGTGTACACGGACAGACGGACAGACGGACGGACAGACAGACATGGCTTAATCGATTTCTTTTTTCATTCTGATCATTTATGTATACATTTGTCTATATCTATCTCGATTCGTTTTGGCTGTTACAAACAACCGTTATGTGAACAAAATTAATATACCCTTGTGCACAAGTGCGCTCGGGTATAATAAACACAAGTAATATCATTACACTGGAAATACACTATATCCTAAGTCACAGTGGAATTCATCAAAACTGCGTTGTGGACAGAGCTGCAAAACTTGCTAATATCACCGGTGAAGAGATAACTATCGAATGGAATATAAAAGATGCCATAAAAGAAGTTGGAAGACGAATATCCTCTGAATGGCAAGGAAAATATTTTGAAATTAGTAATGGCAAAGGGAAAAAATATTACACTATATTACCTAAATTATTAAAAAGACCATGGTTTCACAAATTAATCCCAAATATAGAAGCGAAACAAATAAACATAATATTATCGGGACACGCATTCTGCAAACATACGTTAGCAAAATTTAAGGTGGTAGACGGTCCTCTATGTGAAACTTACATTATAGACGAAACTCCAGAACACATCGGCTGAATTTCTTTATTCATTCTGAACGTTTGGAATAAACGTTTTTGTTTACTTATTCTTTAGAACGTTCCTGATGATATGGTAACGTATATTTCAAACGTATTCTGTTTATTCCGGCTGTGAAATGGGATTATCCGGAATGTATAAAGAAACGCAGCCATCATACTCAAATGTAATAAATATGACAACATTAGAGCGCATCATCCAAAATTAATAGCACATGCCTCTTTCGAAGAATTAGAGAAAATTGAAGATTCAAAAACATACATTATATTATCTAAATTCCTTAAACATACACAAATACTATTATAAAAACATGTTAATATAAAACGACATAAGATTAAAAACAATCGCACTCAACATAGCGAGACAGATATTATCCAGTAAATAAATTGCATACGAGATAATTTCCTACATCAAAACACATAAGTACTAATCATCGATATCAACCCATAAGACTGTGTTTATACACGGAAAATTTTGTCGACGCGATTTTTGACATTCCCTTTTGGTGTTGCTCGTTTCATTTACACACGGCGATTTGTGTGTATGCAATTGTTGTTGTCAGCTGTGAACAGCGGTTCAATTTACACAGGCGAACGAGAGCACAAAGCGTGTTGCCCGAGCACGAGCAAATCGGTGCCCCTCTCCTTTCCTCGTCACGCTCTCTCCTACAAACGTCGAGTTGCGGCAACAAAAATCGCCGTGTGTAAATGAGCACTAAGAAACTCTTTCAAATAATCGGTGGTGGCGGAATCGGCCAATAAATCTCCTCAACCGTGACGTCGGCGCAAGAGTAAAGCTGATGCCAGATAAAACTTTGTGGCTTTGCGTGACATTTATAACTCTGCCAGCAAATTTTGTGCTGCTTTTTTACTCGTCAAAATAGCAGTGCATTTTATATATTTTGCTTTAAAATTATCAGCAATGTAATTAAGTTTTATAAAATAAATATTAAACCGGCTGATTATCAAAGCGCGCAAAAAGATGGGAGTTGGCCATCTCTTCGCTTCGCGCTGTAGCTTAAACGATCTATGTGGCATGCTTTGTGCATTGTCATACAATTCATCTTATCTATCAAAGCGAATCTGTCACGTAAAGCGAAGCAAAAGTTTTAAGTGGCATCAGCTTAACCTTACCGCACATGAACCAAAAAGACAAGATCACGCGGGCAGGAGACTAGCCCGTTAGAATCGCATTTAAGGCGCTGGCCCAATGCAGGCTTGCTTTGCACGCCTTACTTTACTTTAATTTGCTTTGATTTACTTCAAAAACTCGTTTGGCCAAATGGCGGCTTGGAACGCTGTCAAAGCTACAAGCTGTGTAGTTAAAAAATTAAGGTCTGTTCCCTTACACTAAGAATAATTTTCCCTCAAAACTCCAGAAAACTAAAAAAAAATACAAGCAATCTTTTCAGATTTATTTTTAAATTGATGCGAATTAATTTTTGCATTTCATAGGAATTATAATAATTATACATATATAGCTATAGGTACATTTATTAA